AGTATTGTGAATATGAAATTTTATGGCATATTGCATCATTGCCTTTCAATGTTGAAAGTGATTTACAAATTTTTGGTGTCATTCAGTTTTGAAATTATGGGTATTTATGATTTTGTGCATTTTAACCAGGATGAGTGCTATCATGAATCATCAAAACACACATCATCATAGGTGTTACATTTATTAAAAGGCTGCTACAAATAAAGTGATCTAACATAGCCATAATAAGTTTATAAGCAGCGTAAAAGAAAAAGAGATGGGACTTAATTTTCAATTTTGGCAGAAGGTAGTGACAGATGGCTTTGTCAGTGCCAGTTTTCTGTAAAAGGTTGTAATTTAGGAGAAAATATTGCTCATTCCATAGGAGCTCTGTAAAATCTAGTTTTGTCTCTGTTGAAGTACAAGGACATGCAGCCAACAAAAGACACTAAGTTGCCTAATCTATACAGACCTGTTGTCTAACCTATGGAGAAGGACTGGAGTAGAGACTAAATAGAGAAAGAGTGATGTTTGAGGGGAGAGGTGAAAAAATACTTGTGAGGGATGGAAAAGCTAAAAGCAGAGCAAATATGACATTCAGATTCCCATTTGGAGTCATCAAGTGACATGAATTTACAACAACTGAGACTGTTGTGGTACACAGAGCATTAAGAGAGAAAGTGATAATGGACTACTGCATTCAGCTCTGGGACACCCAACATAAGAAGGAGATAGACCTGTTGGAGTGGGTCCAGAGGAGGGCCACAAAGATGGTCAGAGGGCTGCAGCACCTCTCCTCTGAAGACAGGCTGAGGTAACTCAGGCTGTTCAGCTTGGAGAAGAGAAGGCTTCAGGGACACCACAAAGCAACCCTCAAGAACCTAAAGGATGCCTAAAAGAGAGCTAGCAATGGACTTTTTACAAGGGTATGGATTGTGAGGACAAAGGGTAATGGCTTTAAACTAAAAGTGAACAAGTTTAGATTATATATCAGGAAGAAATCCTTTACTCAGAGGGTGGTGAGACACTGGAACAGGTTGCCCAGAGAAGTTGTGGATGTTATATTTCTGGAAGTGTTCAAGGCCAGGTTGGATGGCATTTTGAGCAACCTGGTCTAGTGGAAGGCGTCCCTGCCCACAGCAGGTGGATTGGAACTAGATCATCTTTAAGGTCCCTTCCAACCCAAACCATTCTATAATTCTATGCAAAGCCAAGAATAAGGAAGGTGAATCAAGCAAAAAACTAATCAGTGTGGAAAAGGACAGTTGAAAAAATAGGTACATGCAGAAGTAAAACAGGCAGATAAAGTAAAAATGAAGACTTTATTGAAGACCATAGAGCAATCTAAAAGGTAAGCAAGATATCCTGTTACTGGAACAGGTTTTTAATCCAGGCTGTATTTCTTCATGTTAGCAATTTACATGTTCTATTTGGAATCAGAGTTGGTACGTGTGTTCAGCTCATGTTCCAGTTGTACACAACACTCATACAGGGGTTGTTAAAAGCACCATGTGTAGAAGGAACCCCATGGCTGCCTATCATTCACCATGTAGCATGCCTTAAATAGATGTAATAGCAAGCCTTGACTCTGGTCAGAAAGTGTTTGAACTACTTTCAGAAAGTTAGTGTAGTTTCTCTTGTTATTTGCCCTTTACTGCTGCAAAAAGATAATGAGTTCAGTGGTATGTCATTCAGGAGGGAGCCCCCGGTGGTCTAGGGGAAAAGACACTGCACTGTCACTGCAGAGACCCGGGTTCGATTCCCGGTCGGGGCCCCTCCCCGGGCAGATGGAGCTCGTTAGCCCGTAAGGCAATCCATCTACGTCCTGAGGACCTCGCTGCCACTGTCCAAGCGTGCTTGGCCCCGGCAGATGAACCTCAGGATTAAAGGGTGGGCTCAGTTCCGCGCACACTGTGTCTCACCTAAAAAA